ACGTGTGCCGGGCTGTGAACGGCTCACGTATTTGTAAAATCTAAGTGACTCGTACAACATGGAATTCATATAAAACGGAATAATCAACAGTGTTATGGGGGGGGTCGACTGTAGTCACTATAATTTACATAAATGGCCTCCACATACAATGTAATAAGTTTAAATATAAGATAGTATTAAATTACACATTACAATTACAAGTTACAAGACTATTCTTATTTTTGTTATATTGTGTATAAAATGTTTAGTTTAAAGTGTTTTCAATAGTCACAAAATAAATCATAAAAAAATATTAAAATGAAATGAATGATAAATTTTTACATTTTCAGTAGTAAAATAAACATATATGATGTAAAACAAAATAAAACGTTCTAACTTTAAAAATTTACAACATAATATCTTAAATCTACAGAAAACTTCACAATGATAGAAAGATCATTATTAAAAATGATTTATAACTTAAAGAAAATAAAGAGCCCCTGCAATGATATCATCTCTGCATGTTACATGTGCCTGTTCAGGAAAACTGACATGATTAACTATTATACCTTAATAAATTAATGTAATGGTTATCAAGATGTAAGGCACTAAATGTGCTTCATTTTAGGAGCTGGATAACTCTGTTTACTGTCTCTCTAAATTTACAAAAAAGCTTTTTGGTAAATTATTTTTTTCTGTAAAATCAGTTTTCANAATCTAAGTGACTCGTACAACATGGAATTCATATAAAACGGAATAATCAACAGTGTTATGGGGGGGGTCGACTGTAGTCACTATAATTTACATAAATGGCCTCCACATACAATGTAATAAGTTTAAATATAAGATAGTATTAAATTACACATTACAATTACAAGTTACAAGACTATTCTTATTTTTGTTATATTGTGTATAAAATGTTTAGTTTAAAGTGTTTTCAATAGTCACAAAATAAATCATAAAAAAATATTAAAATGAAATGAATGATAAATTTTTACATTTTCAGTAGTAAAATAAACATATATGATGTAAAACAAAATAAAACGTTCTAACTTTAAAAATTTACAACATAATATCTTAAATCTACAGAAAACTTCACAATGATAGAAAGATCATTATTAAAAATGATTTATAACTTAAAGAAAATAAAGAGCCCCTGCAATGATATCATCTCTGCATGTTACATGTGCCTGTTCAGGAAAACTGACATGATTAACTATTATACCTTAATAAATTAATGTAATGGTTATCAAGATGTAAGGCACTAAATGTGCTTCATTTTAGGAGCTGGATAACTCTGTTTACTGTCTCTCTAAATTTACAAAAAAGCTTTTTGGTAAATTATTTTTTTCTGTAAAATCAGTTTTCAGTTGCTTTTTAAAAAAATAATTAATAAAATATTTCATTGAAATTTTTTAAGTGAAATAGCAAACTCGATACATATTAATACAATATCATAAAATATAGTTATTCCAATACATTAAATATATTTATTTTCAGATTAATGTATCATATCAACACTCAACATAATACTGAATTTTTTAATTGTTACATATATTTGTTCTAAAAATTAATTTAAAAAATTAATATGAACTTATATTTATAAGAACAATTAATTTATTAAAAGTACTTACACAAAATCAGTCTGTACTTTGTGGGAACCACTTGTCATTGCTTTGAATTCAATTCCAGAAAGATTATAATCATTTGGTAGAGCCCATTCTAAAATATTACCTAAAAAAATAACTTTATTAACAACTTCTTCCAAAATATTCCTGGTAAATTTTTTAATAATGTATTATTTATTTTTATTTTTCTAAATAAACTTTTAGAAAATTTGTTTTAAAAGTTGCTTTTAGCATATCAAATATAAAAATTTTGTTCATTAAACATTAATTTTTTTTTTTTTTGTTTAAATTATCAAATGGGAGGAATCAAACCCTAAAACTCTTTCCCATGCATGGCCTTGTTAATGTTAACCGATAAGTCTATATGATTTTTTTTGATAGATGGTAGTAGACATTATAAAAGCAACCAACTTCAGTTCTAATTTTGAAAGCACATTACCATTTGAAATTAACAGTTCAATTAAAAAAAAAACAAAAAACAAAATAGTTGTGTTTGTGTGTTTGATGTCAACTGAAAGATGGAAACGGCTGCATTGCAAACCGTCCCAAACCATTTCAAAGCCAGGGCTTAACAAACAACATCAGGCTTTCAATTTGGTGAGACTTGAAGGGTATTGTATTCTACAAGCTGCTTCCAAAGAACAGAATAATCAATTCAAATATGTACTGTGGCCAGCTGGACAAATTGAATGCAGCTATCCATGAAACATGCATAATTCTTTACTTAAAGACAGTTCTTTCTTCAAAAAATTTTGCATGTTTTGTAACTATTTTTGAATAACTTTAAAACGTGCATGTTTCAAAGAGATCCAAAAAATAGTTACAATAAATGTAGGCTACCTGAAATTCTTTGCTCACTGCAGTAGAACTATTACCATAATCTTTGTGCCACCTGCCCCTAATAGTAAAATGAGATACTATAGTAAATAATTATCCCCCTCTCTAGAAATTTCACAAATCGCACATTATAAGTAATATATCGTTGGTCTTTTTTCCATTACAATGCAATACTTAATGAAACCATTTCTATTTTTACAAATTCATTTATTTACAAATTAGCTGATGCACACAATTTCTTAATTATAAAGAATTTCATTATGTAACTTATAAAGTTATATATAATATTATAACCATTAAATTTAGAATATTTTTGCTATTGTATACTACTAAATCTATAATTTTCCAGTAATAAAATAACATTCACAAAAATTCCCTAAACCAAAAATTATAAGAAAATTTCTAATTAATTTTATCCTGAAACATTCAGTTTACACATTTACGTATTGTGCATAGTGTGTTATACACACTAATATAATAATGCATCACACTAATTGTAATAAAATTAAAAATTATCAGAATTCTATTGTAAATATTTCTATCTGGTGATAACTTTATCTATCAATTATTTTTATTTATACTTTTCTGTTCATTAACAGTTCTTAAGCATTTGCTTGATAAGATTATAATTCTTGCATGAAGGAACAAATTGGCTTAAATGAATTATTTTTATATATTTCATTTACAAATATCAATAATTATTTATATTTTAATTAATTAATTAATTATGGTTATTATAAAATTTGTTAAAATTATTTTTACAGAATATTTTTAAAAAATGTTTTAACATGCTTTACATGATCCTATTAAAAATTTCAATAAAATGATAAATTCTAATATTTTTATATAAAATTAAATTACAGAATAACAGTCTTTTGATGTTAATTTTCAATACCAAAAAACAGTTCTTCTGTAATGTTAGTTATAAAATTTTGAGTTTTTATGCTTTTATATAAAATATATTGTTAAGATAATAAATGCAAGATTCAAAATATTTTTCGATGATCTTTAAATTTCATAAAATGAAAGTTCTTTGTTAAATGAAGCGTTTCTACTTGATTGCTTCTTGTTCTCTTTTAGATTGTTGAAAGCATGAAGCATTTCTATTTGTTACAATGAAATCTTAAGAATCTTTAAGTTAATTGTCAACATACATTGCATTTTGTAACATCAATGTCTTATTAAGTAATACATTGGTTTAGTTTAACTATAAAATAGTAGTCATTCTATTTAGATGCACTACCATAATGACCTGTGATCAGTTAATAATTTATAAAATCACAATCGTGTCAACACTACGTATAAACTGTTTTTAACTAATAATTAAATAATTAAACAATATAATGGATTCTTAAACAGAATTGTTCCATATTAATTAATTCAAATGATTATAGATATATTAATATAAATTTTATCAAAATTCTTACTTAATAAAATTAAAAGAAAATTTAATAAATTTTGAATGAATTAAAGTTCATTCAACTTATACTAAGCTATTCCTTTAATCATATTTTATTGATTCAAATATAAATTATATAGAAACTTGAACAAAATCAATAATCATACACATAAAAATTCTTTCATTCATAAATGAACATTTTCCAACTAAAACAAAATAGACTGGATAAAACTAAAAATCTTGGATGCGTTTAAAAAAACTAATTAATATAATAATAATAATAATTTTTTAAAATAAAAAATTATTTACAATAAAAACATTGAACATAGAAATGAGATTTTAGTATAGATTTAGATTAATATTCTTACTTTAAAAATTTAGATATTTGAACAAATTGTAAATAAATGAATTTGCAAAATTTTTTGCTTGTTTTTCCTATCATGTTATTAGCTTTACACTATAACCATACGATGACTAATCAATACAAACAAGTTTGCAGGATATAAAACAAATAATTTATTAATTAATGCATTCAGTGTTATCAATATATTATTGATAACACTGAAAGCAAAATAATAACGCATAATACTTTGGAATCAGGGTTGGATTTGTGGGCAGGCATCCCTGACATGTTCCCAGGGCCTCTAAACAAAGAAAATAAAAATAAAATTAAAAAATAAGAGAAAGTGTAAACGATATAGAATGCAAAAGAAATATATATATATATATATATAATTATCATACATCCTACCGTGCATTCCAAATAAATTTCAATCTTTACACCGTACTTTTTTAATTTACAAGATTTAATTTTTATTTGCATTAGTCGCTATTGAAACCTCCACAATTTCGAGTGCCCGATAAATAAATCCGTCCCCGCCGGGAAGAGATTTAGCATCGGAAGCAAAACGAAAAGACAAACAAATTACTCAGAAAACTGAAATCAGGAAAATTTAATAAAACAGTGACTTTTACACTCATTTTTGAGTGTTATTATATATATAATTTATATATTAATTAATTAATTAAGCAAAAACTGAGACAGATTTGTAAAATCAAGTTTTAAATAAGTAATTACATAATGTGGATTTTTTTTGACAAATATTTGAATGTACAGTACAATAATAAGATTTCTTTTGTTGTTTATAAGTTTTACATAATGATTAATGATAATAAATACGAATGATTGGTTCTAACATACCTGCTCTAATATCAAAAACAACAACAAAGACCGAAACTAGAGTTTTAGATCCCTTTTGATTTCTATCATCACAATGAGTATAGAAATTTCCAACAGAACAAGATATATTCTCTAATTGATCGAAATTATTATCGAAATCGTGGAATGTTTGTTTTAATAGAGGTACTTTGTCGTCTTCATCGCCCATTTTACGTATAAAAAAGTAAATTTTTCGATTCCTAAAATGCTATTGTAATGGACTAAATGCCATTTATTTCGCGTTAAAATCCGCCAGGATCGAGATTATCGATCAGCTGATGAGAAATTTTTTTTGTTGTTGTTTTCTTTTTTTAAATCGGACCGATATGGCGACGAGATTAAATAACAGCTGTGGCCGCTAGAGGTCGAAAATGCGAAGTTGTCTTCGTAAGAAAAAGGTGATTTATCTTATTTTTGAAAATTTAATAATGTTTTATTTAGTGAATGATGACGAAAATAATTTTATTTACTTACGTGGAATATTTTCGAATATAAAGTTTTTAAAAATTATTAAACGTGTATAAATTCGATTTAATTTTTTTTTTTTTTTTTTAAATTCGAAATTTAAGGCTATTTAAATGCTAATTCATATGCTATTTTGGATTGTAATTGACACGTTTTATTGGCGGTAAAATGAATGATTCGATTTTCTATAAATTGTCTACAATTATTTTTTTTTTTTAGTGAAGATCTTTAAAACATTGAAATTTCCTTGATCCATTCTGAAATTTATTTATCTTTAATCATCAGTGAGACAAGTTGAAGTTACTTTTAGATAAATTGTGTAAACACTGTTTATATATGAATTATCTATAATTAATCCCTACCAAAGACCATTGCCTTTCAGTATAAAAGTTCAGAGTGGAGATAATACAATGCAAAAGAAAAATATTGAATAAATTACTTTATATTCTCAGTTTTTGTGAAAGAGAGCACTCACATACTTCTCAATATTCACTTAGCTGAATGACTGATAACGCGTTTGGTGTACACAAGTTATTATGTTTATTGATGCTAATAAATATGTTATCGTCGTGGATAATATACCTCTTTTTATGTAAATATAAGATTTATCGGTATAGAAGAAGTAATTCATCCTGTATCGAATTCAATAGGAAAAAATTATACAGTTTATAATAGAGATATTGTGAATAGTTATGATATAAATGCAGTTTGCCTATATTGTATCTTACAAAATTTTTAGATATTTGTATAGTTAAACAAGTCCGATTTTATTGTAAGAATCGGGTCTATGAAGCAGGACTATTGAACTTGATGGTTAGGCAGAATTTTACACGCATTTTTCAAAACAAATGATTTGATCTAGAGATTCTTTTGTGTAAGTCTAGTAGCTGTCTAGTTCCGACTTATGCCAATATCGATTCTTTTGTGATAAATCTTTATCGTATCGCTCTCGTCTTTTTATTTTCCAGTAATTGAGAAGTGAACTCTTACCGACAAAATTCAAATTGAATCCGTATGTCTCTCTCTATGCATTCTAATAAGCATCAGAATAGTAAGTTTTTTGTTGTATATCAAGTTCACTCCAATTTTTGTTAAAACTTTGTCAATATAAATTATTTTTTTTATAAGAAATATAAAGTTTAGAAAGGTTTAATTTTTCTTATTTAAGTTTAAGAAATGTTATCTGTCTGCTTTTCTTGGGTCAAGCATGTTGTTTACTTAAATTGCTATCATAAATTTTATCTAATATATAATATATGTCAACAAGTTAAATATAAAAAAGATTTCAATTTTAAATATGCAAAATATTTAAAATTATGATTTGAAATTCTTTGAAATTTAAACTATGACATTTAATATATTAACCAAATATATTATATAATATTTATATAATATGATAATCATTAACTTTTTAATCAAATTTACTATGCACAAAATTTAGTATTAAATTATTTGTAAAATAAAAATAAAAATCAATAAATTTGAAAATATCTTTCATATTTTTATACTTTTTTATTATTAAATTTCAAGTATAAGTTAACTTATATAAAATATAGTTAATTTCAAATGTATTATTCTGTAGTAATATCTTTTACATTTTAATCCAATAGTGTTTATTTTTATTTGTGGGTTTCAAGGATTGGAAGATTTGGCTACAAGTAGCAGATTGGGATATTTGTAGAGCTCTATTCTACTAGATTTGAGTGACTTACTACTTTTTGGGCTACATTTAAAGAATTTTCCTGTACTTTTTATAAAACCTATCTGGCAACCTGTGAGGTTCTCACTGAACATGGACTGTTTACCCTGCAGTGTTAGTACAGTATATATCATTTTTGCTAAGACTAGCTGATACCTGTTGTACAACCAAGTAGTTCATAGCAAGTGGGCAGAAAGTGAACATTTTTTGCTTATGAAACTGATTTTCATGGAGATAGCTCCAAAAGAAGCTACGAAAAAATATTGATTGCGAAAAAACTATACTTCTCTGGAAGGCGGACAAGAATGAATATTTAAAAAGTGAGATTACAAGAGCTTTCAATATTCCTTTTTCAACTCTTTCAATATGCTAAAAACTGTAACAAACTTGAACAATCAGATGAATCCAGTGCTGAAATCAGAAACAGAAAGGTCTGCATACTGATAAATAGTGTAAGCAAATAGAAAAGCTCTTTTCCAGTGGTTTTATGATGTGCACACAAAAAATATTCCCATCAGGATCTCTGATCAAAGAAAAGGCAGTTATGTTGGTGTCATGAATGGGTATCAATGACTTCAAGTGTTCCAACTGATATCTGTGCCAATTTCAAGCTCACCACAATACCATATCTCTGAATGCCAGCATTGAATCTTCATCAATGAACACTAATGCTGCCAAATCATAGCTAGAAACTGTTTGTCCAATATTACAAGAATATACTGAATATGACATCTTCAACTTAGATAAGACAGGTGTGTTCTACAATTTGATGTCATCAAAAACATTAGCACTGAAAGGCAAAACCTGCCATAATGGCAAATACAGTAAGGAATGGATCACAGCCATGCTATGTTGCAATGCAGATGGCACAAAGAAATTTACACTTATAATTGGCAAGTTTAAATTAAATAAAAAATATAATAATTGGAAAATTTGCCAATCTTTGTTGTGTGAGGGCAACTGCAGTTATCTTGCTCATATGAGTCAAATAAAAACTCTTGGATGACTGCAAAGATATTTTGAGACTGGCCGCTATGCTTTCGAAACAAAATGTCAACACAAAAAGAAAGGTCTTATTGCTAATGGATCAAGTGTTACCCCACAGTATTGAAGGCTTACACCTTCAAAACTGTGAGGCAACACTGAGCATGTGCTATTTTTACCAGCAAGCACTACCAGTATTATCAAGCCCTTAGAACAATGCATTATTTCACAACTGAAAGTACAGGAAGTGTTTGGTGTGGTACATGCTTGAAGAGATTTCTCAAAGTGTATTGCTGAAGAAATATCTCGGATGCCCTGTGGAATGTTATGGTTGTCTGATAAGAAATTCCAGCTGAAAGCATAAGAAATTGTTTTGCAAAACCAGGTTTTGTTCAATGGTGTGTAGATGCTGGTAACATTGAAAACAACCATTAAAATGAAGTGCCATCTGAATGGGAAGATTAACAAAAAATATTGATTGCATCTTGAATTTATGTGAATGTGAATGACAATATTGCAACAACCAATGACATCAACTTTGATGAGATAATACCAAACCTAGATGCAGCCACAGTACCAGTGCAAATGCTAGATGTTTGCAGTAGTGACAAAAGAAAGATTGTTTTATGATAATTTATTCATAAATAAAAGTAATTATGTTATGAATAAACTGGTCAAATTAATTCTAATTGTTGGAAAATTAAACAAAAATTAATAAAAGATTTAATAAATTTTTTACTTAAATTTTTTATGCATATGTTTTGATATATAATATTTGTTTTTAGAAAAAACAAAATTCAAATACTTAATATAATAAATCCACTCTGTGAGCTTATTAAAAGGACTTCACCTAGAAAAGTAATGGAATCTATTTATTTTAGATTAGAAGCAGATGATCTCCAGATGAAAGTTTAAGGTGCAAGCAACTCGTGATTAGCCAAATAAAATAACCCTGAAACCTGGCACCCCGCTGTGCAAGAAATAGCCAGATCAACAAAAGTCTACTCTATTAACAAGCATATTAATAGTAACAGAATTAACAGTTCATAAAATTTCTTTAGGCCGTAAGTTGAACAGCATTAAACATAGCTATTAAATTTTTTAATTATCTCATAAAAAAAAATGTGAACACAAAATTACTAAGTACAGTACTGAACAATTCAGTGTAAGTACTGAATAATTTTTTTTATTTAAAATGAAGACATACTATTTCTTTGACTGAACATTTCAAGATGTTTACTCATATTTAATCCCATTTATATATTCAATGTAAATAAACCTTTATAAAAAATAAAAAAAAATATGGAAAACATTGAACATTTTCTTGCTTTGAGTATAATAAACTGTTTTTATAAATTTTTTATATGTAATTTTCTAGGTTTTTTTATGTAAATTTATAATAATATATTAATAAAAATAATATATATATGTATTATTTATTTAAATAAAAAAAATCAGCAATTGTCATTTGTCTTTTTGATTTAAAAAAATTTTTTGAAACAAAATCATGCCACTTTTTCAAAAAGATTATATCAATGGCAACTGAAAAGCAAAGTTTATAAAAAATGGCATGTTATAAAAAGAGCAAGGTCTTATAAAAAAAAATGGAAGCAAAATATAGATTATCTTGCTTCCATTTTTTTTATTAGACTTGTCATTTTGTAGAAATATAATCATAACAACAGATCAATGCCTAAAAACTGAAATTTCAATTTAAATGCATAAAGAATCTGTAAAGTAGTGACCTTTTAGCAGAGTGGGAACAAAAGAGGCGCAACCTTGTCAATTGGATCCACGTGCGGTTGGGTAATACCACTTGTAAAGTATTGACTTGTAAACAAGGGAAAACAAAGGAAGCGCCGACTTTGTTAATTGGACCCACCTGCAGTCAGACGGTAGTACATTTGCCATATGGTAAACAAGTGGCGGACGTTTGTGTAAGCTCTCATTGGATGACGGCGGACCTGAGTGTAAGCTGTTCGGGCATAAAAAAGGGTTGTGATTGGTCGGAAGTCCCCGTTCCAAAAACCCTTAAATTGCGGGGAAAACGAGAGGAGAGAGAGAAGGGCAAGAGACTGGTACACGGTAGTCTCAGGCACTTGGGAAGCCCGCTGAGCGTAGAGAGAGTGTTCTCCTCTGTTAATCATCTCAGGGACGGGTTAGTGCAGAGATCAGACCGACCGTGCA